TCATGGCTTTATATACTATCTACTAACAACTCCCAAATATGTATCTCCCAGCTGGATCCCTGACCTGACCTCTGGATTTTTATATGGATTTTTATATGTAACTCTTTACTCAAAATCTCCACTTGGATATCTGATAGGTACATCAACTTTAAATGTCTAAATCTGATTTCTTCATCTTCCCCATTAATCCTGTCCCTTCTGAAGTCTTCCCCATTTCAATTCATGCCAACTCTTACCTTCCAGTTGCTCAGTCCAAGAACGTTGGTGTCATCCTTGCCCACTCACAATCTACAGATGTCCAAATAGCAAACAGCTCTACCTTCACAATATATTTGGAATCTGACCACTTCACACCCCTTCCACCCTGGTCCAGTGGGATTGTAAGAGGTAGTCAGTCTCCAGCACTGGTGTTCTCCTATCCCATGCACACACCACATACACACCATCTCTTGTCTTTCCCAAGAACAGTAATTGTTTCATGACTTACGTCTGATGGTGTTACTCCTCAGTTCAACTGTTCTCTTCCTATTTCACTGAGACCAGATCTCAGGATCTGACCCCTCTGACCTCATTTCCTATAACTCTTTCACTTGCTCATTCCATTCCAGCAACATTAGTCTGCATGCTTTTTCTGAACCGTGCAGGCATATTTACCCTTTTGTACTTACTGACTCTAACTGAAATGCTCTTCTTCCAGATATTCACGGAGCTCCAGACCTCCCCCCTTTCAGGTTTTACTTAATCACCTTCTTGGTAAGACCTTCCCTGACCCCCAATTTTAAATTTCACTGCTCCCAAACACTCCCTCTTCTCCGCACTTATCCTTATAGGACAATCAACTTAAATTTTAATTAATTAATTGTTTACTATTGTCTCCATCCACTAGAATGAGGGCCTGCTTTTCTTGACTGCTATCTCCCCACTGCCTGCAATAGTGTCTCTCTTACAGTCGGTCCTCAACAACATTTGTCGACAGGTTTCATTGAATACCTCTACCTTAAAGGTCATCTTATCATGACATAAAGTTGCATATCTCTCATTTTTATCTCCATTTTATATGATATAGTTCAGTCTATAGAGCCATTCATTATCTGCCCTCCTTGCAAGCTAGAGATGGTAAGGGTCACTAACAACTTGAAACATTGACTTCCCTTCATTCTTTAACTGCTATGGATTCTATCTTCCACCTACAACTCTCTCAAATTTACTCCCCTCTCTAACTCCTCAACTACCTCTTCAGTTCAGGCTCCCACTGGATCCACGCTGCCCAAACGATCAAGTCCATATTCCTCATCCTGACAGACAACAAGGCTCCCTAACTGACTGTGGCCTATCTTTATAGCCACATCTCCTTATCTCCCCTATACGTGCTCCCTATACATCAACCTAGTTTTCTCAGTTTAGCATGCTTCTTGAGCTTTTGCTGCTTTTCATAATACTGACTGTACATGCAATATGCTCCCTGATCTTCAAGGAAAAATTCTGAAGTCATTTTACAGAAGCCATCTCAAATATTACTTCTATAAAGTCATCAAAATAACAGCAGCTAACAACCACTGAGTGCTTACTAGGATTCAAATAATTGACTTACACTGTACCATTTAACCCTTAAACAAATCTATTAGAAAGGTACTAATAACTTCCCCCAAATTATACATGACAAAACAAGGCTAAAAGAAGTTAGGAAACATGTCCTAGGTCATAGACTTAATAAGCAGATGAGCTAGGACTGGATCCTACATCTACCTAATTCCAAAGCCTAAATGTCAAAACTGAAAAAACAGCTGAGCTGACTTTAAATGGGTATTCTGAAAGTCTTTACTGAGTTTAGGTCATTTTAAAACGATGTATTTTATTGTTGTGAGATAAGAACTACAAACCACAAGCTCTAAGAAGCTGCCACTTTATAACTACCCAGATAATAAATCAAAGAATTCACTCTAAAGCACTGTTTTTAGTTTGCAGGCAAACACATAATTTTTGTAGGCATATTTGTGTGATGAGAAAAACTAACAATAATACCATTATTGTCAATTTACAGCATTTACAAAATTACAGGCAAGGTAAAAGTCCAGAACCTTGTTTCTGTGTGCCATGAAGCCCACATAACCGTCACCTGATATGTCTAAAAGGACCTCTGGAATGTTACAACTCTGCTCATTTCTACCCAATAATTATAACTCTCCTAGTTTTTGCCCTTCTTGGTAAAGCTTCATTTCACGGACCTTTTCATTATGAGTTGCTTTGCTGGGTTTGCATATAGCATCCCACCCAAAGGTGACTTTGATGGGGCCTCCAAATGCAGCCCCGGCAGGTCTCCATAGAAATGGCCCCAGGGTTGTCTCCAAAGTGGCCCTGCTTGAGTTGCCATGGTAAACAACCAGGCTAGATTGCTATATTCAGTTCTCTGCCAGGGTCGCCATGGTGACTGCAAAGGATGGCTCCTTAGAAGGACCTCACAAGGGCGCGTTTCCATGGTGACCCTATCCTGCATATTTCTAAGCAACTTCCCTCTGGTTGTTCTGTGACCAATCATGGCAGGTTCATTCTGAGAGTCACCCTGGACAGTTTCTCCCAAAGATACCGTCATAACACATAGGCATTTGGAAGTGAGGTCTGTAAACAAATAAACTGCTTGAAAACGTAAATGGTACCATTCATAAATCATTAAATTAGTCCCTATACGTTTTAGGAAGGATCTGTTTTGATGGGTAACAAAAAAAAAAAACAACAAAAAAAACCATTTGCAACGTCTGTTAAATGTGTCCATTTCAAATCTTAATTTAAAATATCTTACAGAGTATAATGCAGATAATTAAAGTTTCAAATTTCTCCAATCCTACAACATAGCAGATAACTAGGTAAAAAATACTTTATAGTGGATATGACACATACACATAAAATGAAATCATAAATACAGATGGATCATTAGGTTATAATGAGATATCAAGGAAATTTTTATAGAGCAAAAGACAAAATATTTGCAAGTCAAATGAAAAAAAAATGTGTTTTTTTAGTTGAGTTGGGAAAGCCTAGCCGTATTTGGGCCCAAGCTATTTTTTCCTGTATTTTTGTGGTTGGAACAATCTCAATTACTCTTCCTTTCAATTTAAAATATGAATATAAACCATTCTGAACAGATGCTTGGTTTTTAAGCCATGTAACTATTCTCCTGAAACTTTAAAATACTGTACTTTATCTAGTATTTAGTGAAGGGCAAATTTTATCTAATTGCTAATTTTTCAGTATCTTTAAAAATTACCTAACAAATAAAAAGAATCCACAGTTCAAAAGATACAATTATAATTTCTGTACACGTGCCCATTCTTTTTTGTTCTTTCCAAGTGACTCTTTAAATTTATACACACACACACACACACACACACACACACACTCCCTATTGTGAAGAAAAGGTTAACCTTGGGTTTCCTCTTTTTTTCTCCTCATCTTGAGGTAACGGCAAACATGATTTTCCCCACTGAGCATTAGTTCCATTGGCTTTACATTTCCCATTATTTTCTTTCTCAGATGCCATTCTCCTACTCTGTCCACTGCAGTCCACCACTGCCCATTCACCTTCCATCCAGGAGAAAGAACTTTGAGTTTGAAAAACAAAAATAGTTCAAGGAAGATGAGGATAATTCATAGTCACTTCCTGGTGAAGGCTCGATGTTCTACACAAAGTCTGAATTTGTAGAGACTTCTTGCTTTAAGCCTTCAGCGTATTTTTGTGAATCAGAGCCATCACTGCAATTTTCATTCATTCATTTATTCACTAAATTTTTATTGAGCAGCTACACAATATCTCTGGCACTGTTTTAGGGGCTGAGAACACTTCGGGAATCAAATAAAAAATTCCTGCCTTTCAGGTGCTTAGATTATAGACAGGGAGAGAGAGAAAGATAGTAAGTACAAAGAAAACCAGTAAGTACAAAATCGTATCTCTTGTTAGAAAATGATTAAAGTCAGGGAGAAAATTAAAGCAGAGAAGAGGGAGGCTGACCCCAAGCCAGGATGGGATGGGGGCTATGATACTAGGATTAATGGAGGGTTTTAAGAACTCCCCACGCAACTGCCATAAGCATACTCAATATTGTACTCAATACTAAACAAAATCCTTACGTTAAAAAGGATCATAGAGAATTCAACAGAAGTTAACCAAAGTAATACTCAATTTTTCCCACTTTTATACTTGTTCTCTGGGAGGCAGCAGTCTGAGGAAGGCAAGTGATAACACCTCTGAGCCTACTTCTGCTTCAAGAACTATATGAACTTAGGAGAGTTACTCCACCTTGAAAGCCTCTTTCTCAATTTTAAAATGAGAATAATAATTCCAAGGTGAAAGTAGTACTCTGAAGATATGCAAAGACAATAAAATATAAATACTAAAATATTGCGGGTGATACGATAGTGTCTGGAATCAGCATGAGAACACTTCAGAAAAAAGGTGAGGAAAGAGACAGATGAAGAAAGGCAGACAAAATGTTGGAAATGAATGAAGCCCAGTGATGGGTATACGAATTTATTATATCACTTTTTATGTTTGAAATTTTCCATAAAAATCTACTGCAAGGAAAGGATGAAACTTGAAAGCAAAGACACTTCCTCTCTAAAGGTTTTGACAAGAACTACGGAAAACTGTACAGGAACATTGACTTATTTGTATAAAAACCTTACATAATGAGCAAAAAATGGATTTATCTACTAACCTTCTGGAACAATGTTAGGTACTTTCCATACCTTCTACTAACACTTAAAAAAAATTTAACTTCAAACTTTACTCATAATAAGAGACAAAATATAAGATGGAAAAGCAGAAAAGCATCATTGTTTAGCTTGCAGACTCAATGGGTACTCAATGTATAATCAGTTTTTAGAAGAAAGTTTAGTATCATTTGCTGAATCCTTAAAAACAAGCATGCAATGGAGTTCTACACTGCTAATAAAAATTTAAGACAATGAATTCTATATGATTAAGATCAAGAAACTTAAAAACTTACCAGATCAGTATCTGCCTTTTTATACGTCAAAGCTTCCACTTTGGAATCCAGTTCTGCTTGTATTTGGTCTCTCCTTTTCATAACACCCTTCATATCAAAACACAAGGACGGAATAGGTTGCACTTAGGTTTAATAATATTTGTATGACAAAAAATATACACTTTAGAATATAAATAGCATCTCTTCCCCCAAGTCATCAGTCATTTGGGATTACAATGACTTAAAGAAAAAAAAATTTTTTTAATCTCTAAAAGCTAAACTGAAAGCAAGCATTTAAGAGACTTTTGCCCCCCTCCCCAAATCTTTTATTCATTTTCCCAATATACATCTTCCTGGGTTAGGTATTTTATGTACAACTCTTGATGGAACACCCTAGACATACACAGTTCTTCACAAAGAGCAAAAAAGCAAAACAAATAATCAAACAACAAAAAAAAATCTGTGAGAGCACTGAAAAGACATGCGATAGTGTAAAGTGGTTGCAGTTGGGACGTCACATGGGCCACTCACCTAAAATGTCTGTAATAATTGGTAGCCCACTTATCCAATTCCAAAGGCATGGTTAATCAAAGAGTTAATTATAGTGGGGAATCAGAAAACTGAAGTGTGCACTCACATTCTGAGACTCTGTCTTAGCTTAAAATGTATCTATATTAATCAATTAGCCAAGCTTTTGATGAGAAATCACAGCCTCTTCTCTGACTGTGAGGAGTTCCATCTTGTTTTCTTGCGTAATCATGATTTCATGTTTTGGTGTCTTTAAAACACCCTTGTGAGGCAATTTGAGTGCAGAATTCACCTTCACCTTTTATAATGTTTGCCAGTCTTTTACAATGTCTTTCCCTGAGTGACTCACTTTTCTTCCAAGACACGCTCCTTGGGCTAATTTATGGACCCAAGGACTCATTTTATTTGTACTCATTTTCACTGGTTTTCACAATATTAGTTTAAGTAATAAAATTGTGATAATGAACACAAGTGGCCTAAACAGGTTAAGGAAGAAAAATGAAAACAAGTTCCAGGTAAGTGAACAATTCAACCAGAAAGAGTAGAAATGCAGGACGTACAAGAGAAGAGCCTTAATGAGGCACAGGTCATTTAGGGGTTTTCAGAGGAAGGTTAAGAACCTACCTATAATACAGTTAAATGGAGGCCAGATAAGATGGCTATAGTATTTGGGAATTGAGAGGCATTAAGGATAAAAAGCACCCTGAAAATTACTCAGTCTAGTTTTGTGCCTGGTGGAATCACTCTTAAAACACTCAAAAGAGATAAACCTTTCTTGTATTTTCAAAGAAATCAATAGAAAATTCAGCTAATTATCACAGATATTTTACATTTATTTCAATGTTTCATTGCCATTACTATCAGGAACCCCTTCCTTTCTCTAACCCAAATGACATGTACTACAATTTAGTCTCATTTAAGGTCTGTTTCCATAAATATGAAGTACTGTGCTTCACATAGGTAGAAATAGTTTAAGAGTTTGCTTCAGAAGACGAATAGTAAAATTATACAAATTTAATCATTTTGTCAAGGCATACACTTCATTATTTTAGCTCACACTGAAGAAAACCTTCCAATACAAAACAGACCAGAACTGCAATATAAATGCTACTGATTATGCCCTGGGAATCTACAAAATAATATAATCAAATGAGAACCTACAAAATAGTTCTTTCTGGTTACTATTATTAATTTTTCCACACTTATAATGATATATGACTTCAATTACATAATTTTCATCTTGACATAATAAAGAGAAAAACATCTAATTAAGGGAAAATACACTATTTTTAATTATACAAATCAGAACTCTTTGAAAAGCCACACAAGGAGGATATCAATAATGAAGCAAAACAATGAAATGTAGCCAAGGAGATTGATGGAGACAAGGAGGAGACTCCTCCACAGTGAAACCTCAGAGGCTTTTGGGAAGCCAGAAGGGTCTGTTTAAAGAAGACCCCAATAAAAGCAAGTAACGGCAGCAACCTGAAATATCTACAAAATATTTAATGGCTCTGAAAGAAAAACCTAAATGTGATAAGCACAAAAGGGGCAGATCTCATGCTGAAAGGCTAAGAGAGTTTTTCTTACCAAGACAGAAGCAAAATTAAAAAAAAAAAAAAAAAAAAAATTCCCTCCAAACCAAGAGTACATGAAAACATGGCTCCGATTAGAAATGGCAGAAGAAATGGACTATATCTGAATGTAAGCAGACTCCTGCCCCCACGGCCACGCTAAAACACCAGAACCCCGAGGGTACCAGTTTGTGCCAAGGTACTGTGCGCAGAGGATAACACAGGATGAAAAACATTAGCTCTGCAGATAGCATTGCTAAATCCCAAATATCTGGAAACCTTAACTTGAATTGAGGAGGTTAAATGCAAAACTTTGATATAAGAGGAAGAGAAGCCTTTGCAACCAGTGAAAGAAACACATTTTAACTTAAAGGATTTCTTTTTAGAAGCACCCAGAAAACAGAACAAACATCAAGATCCACTCAAGTACTTTGTACATAATGATAAATGAATTGCTAAATCAAATGTACCTAGAAGGGGGTAAGCAACTCTTTCATGAAAAGAAATTTCTAAAGCACTAAAAATTTTTAAAGTAAACTTTTAAAAGCTTGGAAAAACTAATCATATCCTCTATGTAAATCTTGACTGAGGATGTTTCAGATCTACGTGTAATCTTACACGTCCTTGTTGCTATTGAGTATTCTGCCTTTTATTAACATATTCTGCTACTCATCAGTTCACTCACATAGTGAACAAATATTTATGGAGTATCTTTATATGCAAAGCATTCTGCTCAGACAGGAGGACAGTGGTGAAACAAGAGAAATAGAAACCACCTTTGTAAAGCTTATAATCAGGCTGCGGACTAAGGCGAAAGTGTAACAAGGCATTCTTACCATTACCATTTCACTGTAAAGCACATACTCATGTACAGCAGGAAGCAGGGCCTCTGAGAGTCCAGACATCCGTTTCTCAGTGGCCTGACAGCATTGGTCAAGGCATCTGGCAACCCCTTTTAGGCTATCAACCAGATCTTCTTCTGAGGCTGACCACAAAACATGAATCGGGCCGTATTCTTTCATTTCATCAGAATATTCTAAAAACAAAAATTAAGTCCTTCAATTTATAGAAGCTTCAAAAGCCCCTATACTAAAGACAGTAAGAAAGTTATTTTTTTCATTGTGCATATATTCTCCCAAATGCACATAAAAAGATGGATATTCTCTTTCATCAAATTGAGCGGTCATTCCAATCCACTCAGGCGAGTTCTTGAATGACTACTGTCCAAGAGTGATCAGCAACAGCCACCTTTTTCACTCTCAAAAGTATCCTGGCTTAGAATATAAATTATACGATCACCGTCATCTATCATGGACATCTGCCTACCAAATAAACTATACCTCAGTGTCTCAGAGGCAACATTACCTAAACAAACTTGTCTTCTTTCTCCCCTTCTCCTGAATATATATCCTACTTAACAGTAATTGTTTCCAGTGATCTAAGCAAAAAATCCAGGTATCATCCTATACACATACCTGCACAGAGTTACTCAATCACCAATTCCAATATTTCTTAATATCCATCCATCCACCCATCCATCCATCCATCCATCCATCTATTCTTGCTTCCACTGTCATCAGCTCATCAGCATCTATAACTACACTACCGCAAGGGACTTCTAACTATTCTCCTTCTTTTAATTTTTGTCACAGTATACAAACATTGAAGCTTCTCAACTGAATTAGAAACCTTTATGATCAGTCCCTACATTGCCTCTCCAGGTCCAACCCTTGAGATTCTCTCCCAAAGATATTTTAATTCAGGCCAAAATAATTACTCATTCATGAATATCTCATGATTTCTCCTCATTTAAACATTACAGATATCCCTTTGCCTTGCCCTTTGCCATTCCTACCATCTGACAAGCTACTTCTAATCCTTTAAATCCTAGCACAAATAAATTCCTTCTGATTCTATTCCAAAAGATTTGTAGATGCTTTCTCCTCAATGAGCTGATCATAATTTTATATTTCTATTAATGCCTATCATAATTTTATGCTTGTATTATTCCCTTCTATTATAATTGCTTGCATATCATATGCTCCTAGGCCCTATGCTCCTTAAAACAGGGGCTGAGTCTCATTATTTTCTTTTATCTCAAAGCCTGTGTTCAATAAATATTCTCATATTAGTGAGAGAACAAATGAACAACAAAAGATTATTCAGTGCTTGATAAGCCATTAATTCAAAAATTTGGATTTCATTTTAAAATCTGAATATTTTTACATTTTTTCTTTTGTACTATCAGCTTTGATAAATAATAGCTTTTTATGGTAGAGAATGTATAAGCAGTGAGCAATTTTTTGTCTAATATCCATTAAATACAATGAAATTCTCTATATTTTATCATCTTACTACTCATTAGGGTTAGTTGAAATATGTCATATTACTCTAAACTATTAAAATATCAAAAGTTCATATGATCAAGCAAGCTGAAAAATATTTTTAAAAATTTAAAAATAACGGAAATATTAGTTGTCACTGAATAAAGGTATTAGGTTTCATGACCACTAGAGCCTTTCCAATTGCACCCTCCTGATCTAGGCCTATCCTTTGTTTTAAGTAATGGCCATATTAAATTAATATTTCTAGCAAAGAAAAATGTTTTCCTTTATCTCTTTTTCTCAATTTTTGTATACATCAGTGTGTATCATTAAACCCTGCAATATTTATGCTTATATAGAGAGCTTTCCTAAAATTCTACTGTGCTTACACAGCACTCAGATCACATTTATATGCAAACACTTAATGAGTTGCACTGTAATGTCTATTAATATATCTGTTTCTCCAACTAGACTCTGAGCTCAAGGACAGGTACCATTTTATTCCTCCTTTAGCCTCCAGTACAGAGAAGGATCACAGCATGTGATCAGTACAAATATGGCAAATAAACTGGAGAACACAAAAGAAAACAAGATCAAAGAAAAAACTTGAATAAAACAACTTTTAAGATTTTATTTATTTATTTGAGAGAGAGAGAGAGCACGAGCAGAGGAGGGGCAAAGGGAGAGGGAGAAGCAGACTCCCTGCTGAGCAGGGAGTCTGACCAGGCTCTATCCCAGGACCCTGAGCCAAAGGCAGACACTTAACCAACTGAGCCACCCAGGCGCCCCAAAACTTGAATAAGAAATTTTTAAAAAGAGAAACCACTAGTTATGATCACCAAATTTTCATGATTTGAATATGAATGAAACGTCCTATATAGCTTAGGCTCCCAAGGCTACAAATGAAAACATTCCAACATTTTGAATAGAATCTGACAAGTGGGCTTCACATTGGAAAGACTAAGAAATCCCTCAAGTTTGGGCCAGTGGCAATCACTCCCTGAAAATTAGAACTCAAATTTATAATCTACCATAAAATCCAGCTTTCCTTCTGAGCATTTCACCAACTTTAGAGTATACCAAAGATTTTAAAACTATTCCCTTGCACCAGCAAATGTGAAGCATCACATTGATATTCTACAAAACTCCTACATCTCAAGAGTTTCCAGCGGCTTCTCTGAATCACTATCCCACTTAACTATGCATCAAGAATATACTTAACAGAACTAGAATCACAGAACCCACTCAAAACAATTAGCCTCTTGAGATTAAAAAAAAAAAAAAAAAAAAAGACAAATGGTAAATAACAAGGGCAGACCAATAAGTCTTAAGAGAAATTATTAAACTATATTCAGTTACCACATGACATCATCAAGTATCAGTGCATTGGAAAAAAAAGGTAAAGGGAAACGTACATTCAGCTATAACAATTTTTTCTATATTTCTTTTGATAACCAACTGATTCTTGATAAAGCAAATTTTCCTACCACCAAATGATATGTTAATTCATTTATTTTTTCAATCATTGAACAGGTTTTAGTTGAGCACCTACTATGTGTTAAGTACTATCTAGATACTAGAAATAAAATAAATCTTTTCCCTTTTTGGTTCTGATGGAATTTACTGTTTAATGGGGGAACCCAGAAAATAACAACAAAAAAAATAATAATAAGCCATCAATATAGAGACTCTCAAACCAATTTATATTAGGAAGTAATATAAATTGACTTAGCCACCTATTTTTAATGTAGTTAAATGCAATTAGAAAATTAGCAAAAAGTCATCATGGAATTGGAAAAAAAATCATCATGGAATAAAGTCTAACTTATAAACTGAAAAAAATAAGAAAACTGAAAAAGGAAATGGTGACAGAAAATAGAAAGAGGGACCTAATTTCCAATATATACATTTCTCTGCCATGCTGGGACAGGCCCAATAGAGAGTACTTGTTCCAAAAATACCACTAGGAAATGTGGAAACCTGATTTTCTTAAACATCACCTTTTTGATTTTAAGCTATGATCCATGTTGTACATTTGAGACCGACTTCATACAACTACATTCAAAATCTGAAGCTCAGGGCTTACTTTGCCACTATTACTTTAAAAATGGGAACAAGAATAGCTAGCGATTGATTAACGCAAATGGGGACTGGCCATGACTACCTTCAAAATCGTATAGAAATCAAAGATGTTCTCAGTAGGTCTGGGCATAAGCCACACTTGAAGGTGAAATTCTAACTTAATGTTATGTGATTCCTCATGTAAGGAGCTTAGACATCACTCCTCAGTCTTAACAAGTAAAATGCTGAAGAGACTGAAAAATGAACACCTTTTCTTGACTCTGGAAGATAGGAGAGGACACAGGACAAACCATTGCCCTCAAGGTTGGAAAGACAGGTGAATACAAGGAATTGTGGGTTCCTGGGCGTACACTAAAGAGTGGAACCACCTCCAGCCACCCACTGCTGGGGTAGGGAGACTGCAACTGTGATTGAGGGACTGCTGGGGGCTCAGGGTGGACAACTTTAAGAGTTAAAACCTTCAGGAGGACCCAGTCATGGGGGGCCCCCACAATATTGTGGGATTTACCCGGAGGAGTTCAACGAGGTTCCCACAGTAAATACCGAATAAAAACCACTCCTGCTTCTTGCAAGGGAAAATGAACCATTTTGAAATAGCCAGAGCATCTGTTCTTCTCAACAAAGGCCTGCCCTCAGGGGACACTAGTTAACCAGAGAAAGGAAGATACTCAACTCCAGCCCACTCTGGCCATTCTGTCCCCACGAAGCAGGGAGGGGAAAACTGAGAAACTCGTGAAGTTCACAGTCCAGAAGCACAGGCTCTCACTAAAAGACTGAGACCTGATGGCAAAACTATAGAACCTTTCAGGTATAACAATTTCTTCTATATTTAGAACTATAGACCTCTTCTATATTTAAAACTATAGAAGCTTTCTCCTCCCCCATGCCTTACTTAGAGCATTACTAAAGGCCTGTTTACAGCAGTTCCTTTTACCCAGCAGCACGTCTGGCTATTAAGGAAAAAAAAGCCACAAGGCATAATAAAAGGCAAATAAAAAAGATAATTTAAAGAGACAAGCAAGCATCAGAATCGGACAGGGCAGGGACCTTGAAAAGATCAGACCAGGAATTTAAAGCAACGCTCTAATGGAGAAAGTAAACGGCATGCAAGAACAGATGCGGGCTGTAAGCAGAGAGACGGAAGTCTTAAGAGAGAACCAGGAAGAAATGCTAACTTCACGTGGCTTTACTACACCAGCAAATGTGAAGATCTGTCAGAAACTGAACAACTTTGTGATCACATTCCAGTGATTCTACATACCCCTTTCTTCCTTGTAAATTCTCTGAGATATTTTATCTATCAAATTTATTTTCTGGCTAAATATTTCAATAAAGTTATTCATTTCCATGAACTCCTCCGGGCGGCTTTTCGCTCCTCTCATTGATAACGCGACAGCTCTGACTGTCTGCCCCATCCTGCTGAGCAATCCAGGCCCTTGCTTCTTGTGAGAAGACAGTTCCTAGAAACAGACAGACAGACAGACAAATGAAATATTTGTGCTGAAGCAAATATTCCAATATTCCCAACAAAAGGAAATCTGACCGGAAGTAGAGAGAATAAAAATGTTCCATATACTTTTTTTTTCACGTAGTTTGAAGCAGCTGAGTTTTAATGGGGCACAGTTCTTCCTCTAAGTCTGCCTTCTTGATAATATTCCTTTTCAAAGTACTCGTGTGAAACATGTATACCTGCTTCCTCTCAGCATGGATCTTTAAAAGAACGAGGTTTAACAAAGGGGATCGTGCTTAAGATGTTGGAAAAGATAAGAGGATAATATGAAATGCAATCTGTATTTTATAGCAGGAATCTAATGGGAAAATGATTGAGAGAAGATTTCTTAGGGTCTAAACTACTCCCTGAAAAAAAAAAAAAAAAAGGAAAATTTCATTAATTCTTCAGTTATAACAATAGCTAACATGTATTGAGAGCTTAGTATGTTCCAGGAACTACACTCACATTTTTTTCATCTATAACTCATAATAACACTATGAGGTAGGTTCTATTATTATCCTCATTTTACAGAAGAAAATACAAGCACAGGAAGGTTAGGGAGCTTGCTCTAAGTCCAAGAGCAATTAAGTGCTGAACAAGGATCAGTCTGACTCCAGAGGCTTCACAGCTCAGCACTAACTAGCTTTGTCTTCGTACTGTTTCTACAGTAGTTTGTAAATAGATACTCCCTGACCATAGAGAGCTCTTCAGTCAACTGAAGTTGGGTAAACTGTGACACTACCTCTACTTGCTGGCTGGCTGTAGAGAAAGATTTTTAAGAATGTATGTAGCAGGCTGTTTCATAGTTAATCTGGGAGGGAGGGCTACAGACTTGCAAAAAGAAGAAATGCAAGAAAAGGATACACCACACAAAAGTAACCCTTTAGAAGTACAGCATATTGAAAAAGAACACCAAGAAGAAGACCAAGGGATCCTGGTGATGGTTATACCACTTGTAAACGTAGGTTTGGGATCAAATAAAAGTTGATCAAATAAAAGGTTACCCACCACGAAAAAAAAAAATCTATAAATAATACTGTTGACTACCAAGTCCACAGATAAAAATATTATTATGTATTATTTACCCAAATATTAAATAACACATTTTCCAGATTTTCTTTCCTGAAGGTCTTACACAGAACACATAGAAGGTAAACTTGTTTGCCTCTAAGTCAGTATGATTTTATGAGCATATAACCACAGATGCCACCCCCTGACCAGGTAACACATCTCTCTGGGAGTGCTACAGCATCTCTTGATATAGTTAACATTATCAGAGACAGCACAAGTCACAACTGGCAAGCTATTATTGTGAATGTTGACTACAGAGAATGTTTCTAGCAGCGTCTAAGGCTCTGGAGTCAGGCCACAAATTCATTTCACAGAAGTCTCAAAGGGCTTCCAAAAAGTAGTACTATCTGTCAAGACTGAGACGAAACACTTTCAAGCCTCTGTCACTTAGGCAACAACTGAGAGATATAAAACTCAATATTGGTCAGCAATCATTTCATATTGACCATCTTCCCTATCCATTCTTTTTCTTGGTGAGTTATATTCTCATAGGTGACAAGAAAAAAGAAGAGGAACACATAAAGTTTCTGGATTAGAAATAGATACACCCCCTTCCCTTCATTAGGTAATTGAAAGAAAAATAAGAAAACTGTACTCTCTATCTGGCTATCCATCCAACCATCTATCCATTTAATAAAGACTTTTATCCTAACTTGAAAAGTCCTAACCCATTATAAAAGAAATATATTTGTATATGTTCAGTATTAGCTATATATGCAAGGAATACCCTGACATTATAAAAAAATCAGCTACCAAGAGAAATATAATATGTGTATGTGAGGAAGATAAAAGATGTCTGTGATGTTTACATGTAGATTTGACACAGGGTTAAATCTGAAGGATATCTCTCGAAGGTCTGATAATCCATCTTAATTCAAGGACGCTGCTGCCTGATTTAAAGATAAACAAGAGGAAGCGTACAACCTACGATACATAAAGACACTAAAGGATTATATGAGTATAAATCAAAATTCTTTACCCAAGCTTGTGCAGTAAGAAACACTTTGAAGTCTTCATTAAATGTTAAAGTTGGATGATCAGCAATTCGGTTCAGGAATTTCTGCAGTGCCTTCCTGCGTGTCTCGATGAAGTCATCATTAAAGCGTTCCACCATTCCTTTCACGATAAACTTCTCAGGCAACGGCTGAGGCAAAAAAATTTTAAAACGTATCTGAGCATTATGTGGCATGGGATTACAAGAAATTCTGTACTCTTCCTTTCTGGAAGACTGTTCAAACACGTGATGATTTCTTATAAAAATAATTTTTCAAGATTCACAATGCCAGAACCAAAACCTGCAAAATCTTAACATATTTAGAATAGTTTAGAAAAACAAATCTGTATATAGATTGAATGTTTAAGAGCAAATGTTTCTAAGATCAATGAGTTACACTAAATTTAAAGGTCTGACATTAGGTTTTCAGCATTCTAATGATTCACAAGACAAAATGGTAGCCACCCTATGGAAAAAAAAAATGTAGACTTACTGGAATAATCAGAGTGGGGTGTGCTTCTTCAAGTTTTCCTTTCAACCAAAGGAAATCTTGATAACGTCTCCTAACTTCAAATTCACTGGAGTCAAATTCCCCACGAGATGTCTGAAGAAAGAAGGAGAAAATAACAGCACACGCAATATGAGACTGAAGACATTTGCCTAATGTTATTTTAGACATTCTGAAATAAATGGGTCTCTAAGAAAAATTAACAAATTCTAATTATTCAGTGTTTGTCAGCCTGTACTTTTTTTGCAGTCATCAATTCATGTAGCAGATGAAACAAAGCAAACTTTTCAGTATTTCCAGAAAGAAAGCAAACATCATGCTCAAATTTAAAATCCAAACTGAAAAATCTGTCTTAGAGCAGCCATCTGCCTTCCACAAGATTTTAACTACGATTATATTTGGCGTGACTTTCTTGCTAACAAGAAAGTGTGTTCTGAATTTAGGTTTCAAATATATTTTTCTCAAGATGATTAGAATTCAGAATTTGAGGAAAGTTCTATTTTTGTAATTTGGAAAATAACCTGAACATAACTGAGAAAAAAATGTTTTCCTGGAATTTGCTCAAATGAATTGCTTTGGTAAAATTTGCTTTTAGTATATGAAAATTCTAACATTTTACAGAGTGATTTTACCACTGTTTAAAAAATGTTATTAATGAAGATTTGATGTGAAAAGAAAATCTTCCTGTCATTTCTCAAGGGATTTTGAGTTATATGCCTAAACTCCTAAAAATTAAGCAAATAAATTAAAATATCTGTTCTCAACAAACCAAAAATCTATGCCAACACATATGACAAGAAGAACACGGGTATAATATCAACCTCACTTCCACTGCATGGATCCCAAACCAAATAAAAAAAGATTATCTAATACACACTCACACCAATATTGCATTAACTAAAATTTTTGCATATTAAAAATTATACACATTAACATTAAAGTTGAAATTTTCCTGGAGGAATAATGATGGAATAACACACTGCATGCATATTTCGCACTCACCAGAAATATCAATCACCCACATAGATGAATGCAATCGTAAAGTTAAGTGGTTCAAGTCATAGATGCCATCTTAATTGTCACGAAATAAGGTTCACAAAAGCTGTACTTTCCAAGGTTTGTTCTTTTAAAATGAATGTTTAGAATATCACACAATATATTTTATCAAAACATTTCCTTTTTAGTGGGGAAAGTGGAGGCAAATGAGATGCAGAAGTCTAAGGAACTAAATGTTCACAAAACACTATGAAATCTTAACTATGGGTACAAGTTATGGAAATGGTAAAAATAGGAAAACTAAATCTAGTAGAAACACAGTTTAACAACATATATACGAGTTGGTATATGTACATATATATGCAAATACACACATATGCATACATACATACACATAAAACATGGTTTATAGTCACTCATTAAAAAATACTTATTGAACACCTTCTTGTACGTGGCACATATATGTATAGGTTCACTACCAATTTCCAAAAATATAAATTGGCATAACCAACACTAAAATACTAAAAAATTGGGCAGTTAAGAGCTTTATATGTCCTCAAGAATTTTCAACACTCTGAGTCAACATAGAACAATCTGATATAAATTCTGGCAAGAGGAAGATGTAAAATCAAGTCAAATAACTGGCTGATTCTGTCCCCACACTCAGCCATTGACTTAGAAGAGTTTTATAACATGCTGCAATAGCAGAGGAAGAAAACAGAAGATAAGTACAAGTCTCAAAGACAGTGTGTTCTTTTGTGTTACTTTAAGAATTCATTCTATTCCCAAGGAGTTATAAGACTAAGATAGGGCAAGGAAAACAAGTATTATCAGCCGGGCTCCGATCATGGTTAATTTCCCAACAGCAGGGACAGAATCGTTGTCTCATCTAAAGTGGCCAATTTCGGTCATTAGAAGATAGATAGAAACTTCCAAACTATAGGAATAACACAGTTTGATGACAGATCTCCAGCTTAGAAAGAACATGTGTTCCAAAAAGTTAATTTGACGTACAAATAATGCTTCTAATACAGGATACAGTTTTCTATGGAAGCTATATGGTAAATGGTGTTTAATTTCTCACGCCTGACTTTAAAAGCTTGGGTACTTGAAGTTTACGATGAATAGACTCATGTGATCTATACCCCAAAATGCACTCATTCAACAAACACTGACCTTTGGTCAAGGGCAGTTACTCTAGGCTCAGAGGATTTAGAAAACTGTTTTTGAGGGAAAATGAATCTTAGAATCAGGAATATATTTTAACACCTACTCCATACTGGTAGACATTTAGGAGTCTGTCTTCATGATGAGGATGTGAGAGAGAAGACCCTTGTTAAACCTCCTCACTCTTGTTTCTGTATGTAGTAAAGGAAGGCACATCTCTTGAGCTCCAAAAGAGAAAATACTTTAGAGCAGTCACTTCAGATAGTCTAACCTGGAAAGTAAAGGGTAATTTTCCACAAGGAGAAGAGATGCCAGGAACATGGGCTTCCTGACACTCATCATTATTTACAGCCAGGTCATTCTTAAGTATTCCTAAGTAGATATTGTCAGTATACATATGTGCGCATGTATATGTGCATTTACCCTTATAATCTTAATGTCATTAATATAAATTTTCATAAAACTAAAACTTTCTCAGGGAAGCCACCTCTGAACCTCCAAACTAGATGGGGTGCCTGTACTCATAAAATCATAGCATCTGTAATTTTTAAATAATTAAATAATTAAGCATGTAATTGTTTAATATCCATCACCCCCCTAGATTGAAAGCTCCATGAAGGCAGAGGGTATGTCTGTCTTGATTGCTGGTGTTGTCTCAAAATACAAGCACAGTACCCAGGACATAACTGTCACTCAACAAAATTTCATTGAATATATGAGAAAGTGAATAAATGATAAAAGTGAATAACAAAGAAAAGACTATTTGAGGGCGCCTGGGTGGCTCAGATGGTTAAGCGTCTGCCTTCGGCTCAGGTCATGATCTCAGGGTCCTGGGATCGAGTCCCGCATCGGGTTCCCTGCTCAGTGCAGAGCCTGCTTCTCCCTCTCCCACTCCCTCTGCTTGTGCTCTTCTGTCTATCTCTCTGTCAAATAAATAAATAAAATCTTTAAAAAAATTTAAAAAAAAGACTATTTGATAACATAATATCCATCTACTAAATATTTATATATTTGTATCTGCAAGGCATATTTTAGCATATATAGGTTTAGTCTAAATACTAGGATATAGTAAAAATAATCAGAAGTAGAACAAAGGGATTTATTGTATAATAGCCTATTTCATAAAAATGAAATGAAAGATAGTTGGCCATAACCATGTAGAGATGCACAGAAAACACATACAGTGTGAACATAAATGGTCTGGATTTAAATCCCAGCTCAGGTAATCATTATGTTGTGTGACCTTTGGCAACTGAGTTTCAGGGTCCTCATGCACAAAATGGGGATAACTCATAACATTTAGGTCCTAGGATCATTGTTTTTTTTTTTAAAGATTTTATTTATTCATTTGAGACACAGGGATACAGAGAGAGAGAGAGAGCATGAGCAGGGAGAGACGCAGAGGGAGAGGGAGAAGCAGGCTCCCCGCTGAGCAGGGAGCCCGATGCGGGGCTCGATCCCAGGATGCTGGCATCATGACCTGAGCCGAAGGCAGACGCTTAACCATCTGAGCCACCCAGGCGCCCCCATTGTTAAGCTTTAAATAAGTTAATATGTATAAAGTGGTTAGAACATTGCCTGGCACAAAATAATCACACAATAAATGTTAGTTAAACACACTGTAATACTGTCACTACTAATACTACAATGAGAAGAGTACATTTAAAGTACGATGTAAATTTGAATAACTCATCAGAATTATATGTCAGTGATTAGAGTAAAATTCACAGGGTGGCTTATAAAAAAGTGTCTTTCTAAGAGAAACTAATAATGATGGGAAAATTAGTCAGTTACACGAATTCTTTGCTAGGAAGGAAGATAACAATGGGTGCTTATAATTAAAATAGTAATACCAGGAGAAATCTGGTTCTATTCTTAGCAGTATGTCTGTATAAACACATTAAATATTCACAAAGACCCTACAAGGTTAGTACTGTTATCTTATTTATAACTGAGGAAACTAAGCATAGAGAGGTTAATTAAATTGCCCAAGACACATAGCAAGAAAGGGGAGTCATCAAGATTCAATTCCATGCTGTCTTGCTCTACAGCATCCTGATATAAGTATGATACCATAAATTTCTTCACTCATCCATTCACCGAAAAGTTAAATTGCTTACTTACTATATCCTAAGGATTGTGTTTGGAAATATGGATAACTTAAGATACAATTACCTTCCTCCTTAAGAAGCTCACAGACTTGTTAGGAATAAATACAAATAAACACATACAGATAGGCGAGTACTGAACATGTATTATGTGACAGGCATTTTGCTAAGTGTTTTGCATTGATTACCAATCCTAAATCAATTCTTACAGCAACTCTACAGAACCAGATTCGATTATCATTTCTGTTTTATAGATTTAAAAAAAAAACAAAAAACCCTGAGGCTTAGAAGGATTAAATATAGACCTTTAATTTCTTTGCTATATTGACTCCAGTGTTTTACATTCTTTAAGAATCCAATTAGGACAACATGAGAAAACAGAAGAAAGAAAGAGGACTTGAGCCTGCAGGTGCCGGGGAGACGGGGGAGCAGGCATCATTTTGAGTTGCTGAAAAATAAACAGTAGTTTATTCTTCCTCTAGAAGAGGAAGGACATAGCAAACAAGGAGAAGTAAATGCCAAGTAATGACAGTAAGAAATACCCTAGAGGGGCACCTGGGTGGCTTAGTCGGTTAAGCGTCTGCCTTTGGCTCAGGTCATGGTCTCAGGGTCCTGGGATGGAGCCCCACATAGGGCTCTCTGCTCAGTGGAGAGCCTGCTTCTGCCTCTGCCCCTCCCCTCCACTCCTGCTCTCTCTCTCTCTGGTTCTCTCTCCCTCTCTCTCAAATAAATAAATAAAATCTTATAAAAAAAAAAAAAAAAGAGGGGCGCCTGGGTGGCTCAGTCGTTTAGCGTCTGCCTTCGGCTCAGGTCATGATCTCAGGGTCCTGGGATCGAGCCCCGCATCGGGCTCCCTGCTCCGCGGGAAGCCTGCTTCTCCCTCTCCCATTCCCCCTGCTTGTGTTCCCTCTCTCGCTGTGTCTCTCTCTGTCAAATAAATAAATAAAATCTATAAAAAAAAAAATATATCCTAGAGTATTCAGATAACAAAAATAGTTCTAGTTGAGTGGAGAGCAGAAGTATTAAAAATGGGGAGGTAGGAGATGAGTCTTATATGGTAAGCTGGCATCAGACTGAGAAGTTCTTTGTATGTCATTCAAAGGAATTTGTACTTTGTTCTATAGGAAATGAGGAACCAAGGAAGGATTTTAAGAATCTGAGTGAAGAGATCAATATATTTTTATGAAATATAACTAGCAGCAAGGTGGAATTTGCACTGGAAGAAGTGATTACAGGAAGATGGTCCAAACCCTTTTCAGCTACAAAAGAGATGTACTACAAAAGAGATTAGGGTGGGGCTTCATAAAGAAAATATTATAGGGGCACCAGGGTGGCTCAGATGGTTAAGCATCTGCTTTCGGCTCAGCTCATGATCCCAGGGTCCTGGGATCAAGCCCTGCGCAGGCTCCCTGCTCAGTGGGGAGACTGCTTCTCCCTCTCCCCCTGCCCCTTCTCCCCACTCAGGCGCTCTCTCTCTCAAATAAAATCTTAAAAAAAAAAAGAAAGAAAGAGAAGAAAATGTTACAACTTATGAATATAATTCTTAAAGGCTGCTATTACATAAGGATTAAAAAAAAAAACCCAGTTATACTATTTGGTTGTTTTATTCTGTCAGAAGTAAACTGTCTTTTTTACAGAGTCTTCTCCTAGGATTAAGAAGATTTGGTTCTAGATTTACTCTGCCTTTGAATTATTGGAGAACTAACAGTATCTTATAAAGCAGCCACTTGCTCTTATTTGGAAAACAAATGAAATTATATTTTGTAATCTTCAGAAGATATGCTACAACATTATATATATTATATATATATATATGTATATATTTGTATTATATCAAGTTTTTAAATAGTTTTCTTTATTAGAAAACTGAAGCTCTTCTTTTCCTAAGATATTTCTTCATAATTTTTGAAACTAGAAACTAAATGTTCCTCTTTCAAGACGCGTAAGTGCTAAAAGATGAGTGACTGTTGTAATCTGAATTTCACTGATTTCATACAGAACAAGGGAAGGATAGATCAGATGCAATGTCTTACCCAAAATGGTTGAAAAAAAAATAAGTCAATTCAGCTAAGATTATCTACTGTTGAAAGTCATAGTGAACAAAAAGCACTTCCAAAAGTTCAGAGAGCAACTGTATTATTCAAGAAAGTATTTATTAAAAATTTACCTTAGTAATAATCCTGTAAGTAATGAAAGTTTCGATTGTAGTAACATGGCTTTCAGGTTCATCAACTGTAATGAAGAGATCTTTCAAATCTGGCTCATCTTCAAACTTGACTTGATTTATCATTGACAGAGGGGATGTTGGCATCATAGGGCTGAAGGAATTCATGTCCATCAGTGAGGCATCCTAAGGAATTAAACACATTCAAAAATTAGCATCTATAGAAGAAATAGTTTAAAATCCTCTTTTTTTCTTAGAAACCATGAAGACTAATGAAATATGTCAAGAACAAAAAGGATGACTGGACTCATGGTTAAATATGGTATGTTGAACATGTATTTTTATCTGTTTCCTCTTAAAATCCCACTTTAAAAATGACAGCAAAGAAACAAATTAAAACAAAACAAGACAAAAAGGCATAAAAAGGTATAAACCCTCAAGGTAATAAAAGAGAGAGAGAGAAGGAGACTAAGCAAACAAAAGTAACAACTTTTTGGAAACTGGAAATCTGATCGTTGAGGGGTAAGTGAAATAGCAGCACAGAGAAAGCTGAACAATAAACCTAGGAGATGATGGTAAACTTAGAAGGCACGTTTATAAGACAGAATCCCAGAGTGACTTGAGAATTACAGGCAGCAGAAACCCGTGGACACAGAGTGCTGGTAGAGCTAAAACCAGAGGACTGGTTGAAGAGCTAATAAAGCCAAAAAAAAAAAAAAGAGAGAGAGAGAGAGTTAGTACCTCAGATTCCCTCACCTACCCCATGCCATCAGGTGACATTTCTTTCCCAGTTTTGCAGAAAACTGGAAGTTTACTTTCTGGAGTGTCTCTGAACTCAAGGTTGCCAGGCAGAATGGAGGAAGAAAGAGCAAGGGAAAGTCCTATAGACTAGAGAGGAAGATAGCCAGCCCTCTCCTCATCTGGCCGCAGGGATGCTGGCAGCAAATGCAAAATTCCACACAGTGGTCAGAGGGTTCCTCTCACCTCACCATTCTGAGAAAAAACTAACAGTTGCAGTCCCTGATGAATTAACCAGGTCTCTGCATAATCACCCTGCAGTGAAGCCCCTACCATACATGCTGAATATCTACTCCACTTTTTATTACCTGATGTAGCGACTACAAAGTATCTAAATATGCAGAAAGCCTCTGATGTGAAAGACTCACAAACAGAAGACAGGAAGCAGTTAGAGAACAGAACGCTTACAAAAAACAGATGAAGTCATCAGAGATAAGAATGATATCTAATTCATGAATAAAAACAGGAGTTATATCCTTAAAAAATTCAGAGAACAGCAGCAAGACAATAAAAAAGGAGGCTCATGAAAATTGAAATATGATAATAAGATAACAACTCAACAGGAAGTTTGAAAGCTAGAAGTCAAGAACTAAGCTGAATTAAAAGAACAAGAGATGGAAAACGAGGAGGTGTTTTTAAAAATTGAACGGTCCAGGCAGGCAGTGCCTTAATAAAACTAGCTCCATAAAATGAAGGAGGAAAATGTGCTTTGAACTGAAGGGTTTCCAGGTTGATAGGGCCTCTCACACCTCCTCAGAATGAATGAGGCAGTGCTGGGGTGGGATGTGCTCCTGCAACCATCCATTACCATGACATTTCACAGTAGAGGGTAGCTTCCAGAGAGAATATAAACAGGTAAAGTACAATAGGAATCTCAGGAATCGGGATGGCTCCATATTTCTCAACGTAACACAGGAAACTAAATGACAATAAAATATCTTCCAAATTTTGAGAGAATATCTTCTACCCAGAACTCTATATAGCCAGGCAAATTGTCATTCAAGTATACACGTAGATTAAAGCCGTTTCAGATAGAAAAGATTCCCAAAACTGACTTCCCTTGAACCCATTCTTTGAAAGCTTCTTTAACTTGCCAAAATAAGGGCATAGAGCAAGAAGAAATAGGGTCTAGGGGACACCTGGGTGGCTCAGTCAGTTGAGCATCCGACTCTTGGTTTTGGCTCAGGTCATGATCTCAGGGTTGTGGGACCAAGCCCAGCATAGGGCTCTGCGCTCAGCAGGGAATGTGTTTGAGATTCTCTCTCTCTCTCTCCCTCTGCTCCTCCCCTGCCCTTCAAAATAAATAAATAAATCTTAAAAAAAAAAAAAAAGAAGTAACAGAATCTAAAAACAGCAGATTCAACAGAAAAGAGAACCAGAAGCAATTCTTCAAATGATTGTGAAGGAATGTTCCAGGTTGACAGCTTTGCAACAGAACTAGGGAACAACCTATATAGACCTGGTCAGGAAGACAGAGTCACCAGGGAGGCAAGGAGATGAAGAAGGAGAAAGAATAAAGGAAGAGAGGGAAGAAGGAAGGAGGGACAGAAGGAAAGACACAGGGGAGTAAGCAAAGGAAGGAGGAAAAGAAAAAAAAGAGAGGAAAGGAAGGAAGGAAGAGAGAGAGGGAGGGAGGGAGGGAAGAAGGAAAAGAAAGAAAGAAAGAAAGAAAGAAAGAAAGAAAGAAAGAAAGAAAGAAAGAAAGAAAGAAAGAAAGAAAGAAAGAAGAGAAAAGAAGAGAAGAGAAGGAGGAAGAGGGAGAGAGGCAGGTGACAGAATATGTGATATGTTTAAACATAATGAGAGGAAGCATGCCATGTCAGTTTTTTTTTCACTTTTTAAAAAATTTATTATATTATGTTAATCGCCATACATACACCATTAGTTTTTGATGTAGTGTTCCATGAGTCATTCTTCACGTATAACACCCAGTGCACCATGCAGAACGTGCCCTCTTTAATACCCATCACCAGGCTAACCCATCCCCCCACCCCCCTCCCCTCTAGAACTCTACCTCAGTTTGTTTCTCAGAGTCCATAGTCTCTCATGGTTTGTCTCCCCCACTGATTTACCCCCTTCATTCTTGCCTCCTGCTATCTTCTTCTTTTTTTTATTTTTTAAAATTTTTTTATTGTTATGTTAATCACCGTACATTACATCATTAGTTTTTGATGTAGTGTTCCATGATTCATTGTTTGTGCATAACACCCAGTGCTCCATGCAGAACATGGACTCTTTAATACCCATCACCAGGCTAACCCATCCTCCCACCCCCCTCCCCTCTAGAACCCTCAGTTTGTTTCTCAGAGTCCATCGTCTCTCATGGTTCGTCTCCCCCTCCGATTTCCCCCCCTTCATTCTTCCCCTCCTGCTATCTTCTTCTTCTTCTTCTTTTTTTTTTTCTTAACATATACTGCATTATTTGTTTCAGAGGTACAGATCTGTGATTCAACAGTCTTGCACAATTCACAGCGCTCACCATAGCACATACACTCCCCAGTATCTATCACCCAGCCACCCCATGCCTCCTACCCCTCACCACTCCAGCAACCCTCAGTTTGTTTCCTGAGATTAACAATTCCTCATATCAGTGAGGTCATATGATACTTGTCTTTCTCTGATTGACTTATTTCGCTCAGCATAATACCCTCCAGGTCCATCCACGTCGTTGCAAATGGCAAGATTTCATTCCTTTTGATGGCTGCAATGTCCACGATAGCCAAACTGTGGAAAGAGCCAAGATGTCCATCGACAGATGAATGGATAAAGAAGATGTAGTATACATATACACAATGGAATATTATGCAGCCATGTTAGATTTTGTAGAGGAATTGAGATGGGTGCAGGGAAAGCAAGAGCGAGGGATAAAGAAGTAGAGGAAAAGAATGAATGAAGGAATAAATGAATGATAAACTCTCAAGAAAGCAAAAGATGTACAAGAATGAAAATGTAATCCTAATTCACTATATGGCTTGACTGTGAATAAAAATAAATTGTTCTTAATCCTGAATTTAACTAAAAATGGTGTTATAATTATACTGATCAGAAGAAAAATACAGGTACTGTATATGTTTGAGGGGAAGAGACATTGCCTGTAAAATAGCTTCAAAAATGCAATTTCTATGATGGAAAAAAGGAAGATGAGCAACTGTTTCAGACTGAAGAAGACCAAAGAGACATAATAGCTAAATACAACAAGTGATCTTGAATTGGATTCCATACCAAAGGAGGAGAACCTTTGTTTTTTCTCTCTAAACTATGTTATTGGGACAACTAGAGAAATCTAAAAGGGTCTGTGGATTAGAATGTAGTATTGTGTCAATATTAGTTTCCTGATCTGGATATGTATACTGTAATTTGGTAGGAGAGTGTCCCTGTTTTCATAAAATATATGCAGACCTATTCAGGATTAATAAAACATCATGTCTCCAATTTACTCAACTAACACAGAGAGAGAAAGAGAAAGGAAAAATTGTGAAATCGCAGTCATTGGGAAATCTAGGTTCTTTGTGGTATTCTTCCAACTTTTCTCCCAGTTTGAAATTACTTCAAAATAAAAAGTATATTTATAGTTTTTAAAAGTCAAATAATTCTACAAAGTTTAAAATAAAACAAAACAAATTAAAATTTAAAAGCAGCTTCCTCTGCTCCAGAATTGCTGTTCTCAGTTCACACTCCTCAGAAACAAATGCAGAACTCTATTAGCTGTTTTTGTTCCTTGTTACATTCCTTCTTTCTTTTTTTTTTTTTTTTTAAGATGTTATTTATTTATTTGACAGAGAGAGACACAGCGAGAGAGGGAACACAAGCAGGGGGAGTGGGAGAGGGAGAAGCAGGCTCCCGGCCGAGCAGAGAGCCCGATGCGGGGCTCGATCCCAGGACCCTGGGACCATGACCTGAGCCGAAGGCAGACGCTTAACGACTGAGCCACTCAGGCGCCCCAACATTCCTTATTTCAAAATAACATATGTATTGCTTCTTTTTTTTTTTTTTTTTTTTTCAATTTTGACATTATCAGTAGGTTTCCTACTAAGGAGAATAAAGAGTATTTATTTACTTAGTCAATTAATTATACAAGTATAGACTCACAGATTCCTATGTTATTCAACAGGTTATAATTGTTAAGTGTTCAAGACCTGACGCGTGGGACCCCCTAGCGGCACCTGTGTGTTTTTGATTTGTCTTCATTATTCCTTGAGCACTTTACACAACATAACTTGGCAGAGTAAGATGTTTCAGGTTTATCATATTTTCCCTGACCCAGCTACGGAATCAGACATGTCTCCAAGGAGCTCTGGTTCCTTCTAGAGGAAACTGGAATTTGGAAACCAAGATGTGAATGATAGGAAATGTAAGTATAATACACACACACACACACACACACACAC